CAAGCAGGCAGAGAGGCAGGCGGGGGGGGGGAAGCAGGCTCCCTGCTGAGCAGAGAGCCCAATGGGGGGCTTGATCCCAGGACCCTGGGGTCATGACCTGAGCCGAAGGCAGGGGCTTAACCTACTGAGCCACCCAGGCGCCCCGAAAAAGGTGGTTTTAATAGAGACTTTTTTTCTCTAAAGAAGCTAACTCCCCCATTGCCAATTCCATATCTTTTAAAGTTAAAAAAGGAAATTCAAAGGAGTAAAACTTTCCAAAGAAGCAAAGGAACTGTACTCAGAAAATTATAGAACACTTATGAAAGAAATTGAGGAAGACACAAAGAAATGGAAAAACATTCTATACTCATGGATTGGAAGAACAAATATTGTTAAAGTGTCTATGCTACCTAGAGCAATCTTTTTTTTAAAGATTGTATTTATTTATTTGACAGAGATCACAAGTAGGCAGAGAGGCAGGCAGAGAGAGAGAGGAGGAAGCAGGCTCCCTGCTGAGCAGAGAGCCCGATGCAGGGCTCGATCCCAGGACCCCGGGACCATGACCTGAGCCGAAGGCAGAGGCTCTAACCCACTGAGCCACTCAGGCGCCCCTACCTAGAGCAATCTACACATTCAATACAATCCCTATCAAAATACCATCAACTTTTTTTCACAGAACTGGAACATTCCTAAAATTTGTATGGAATAAGAAAAGACCCCGCATACCAAAGGAATGTTGAAAAAGAAAACTGTAGCTGGTGACATCACAATGCCAGACTTCAAGCTCTATTACAAGCTGTAATCATCAAGACAGTATGGTACTGGCACAAAAGCAGACACACAGATCAATGGAACAGAATAGAGAGCCCAGAAATGGACCCTCAACTGTATGGTCAACCAATCTTTGACAAAGCAGGAAAGAATAGGGAATAGAAAAAAGACAGTCTCTTCAACAAATGGTGTTGGGAAAACTGGACAGACACACACAGAAGTATGAAACTGGACCACCTTCTTACACCACACACAAAATTAGACTCAGAGTGGATGAAAGACCTCAATGTGAGACAGAAATCCATCAATATTCTAGAGAAGAACACAGGCAGCAACCTCTTTGATCTTGGCCACAGCAACTTCTGGCTAGACACATCTCCAAAGGCAAAGGAAACAAAGGTAAGGGAAACAAAGGGAAAAAGGAACTACTGGGATTTCATCAAGATCAAAAGCTTTTGCACAGCAAAGGAAATCGTTGACAAAACCAAAGGACAATGGACAGAATGGGAGAAGATATTTGCAAATGACATATCAGATAAAGGGCTCATATCCAAAATCTATAAAGAATTTACCAAAGTGAACACCCAAGAATGGATAATCCAATCAAGAAGTGGGCAGAAGATATGAACAGACATTTATCCAAATGGCCAACAGACACATGAAAAAATGCTCAACATATCTCAGCATCAGGGAAATACAGATCAAAACTACAGTGAGATACCACCTCACACAAGTCAAAGTTGCTAAAACTAATCAGTCAGGGAATGACAGATGCTGGTGAGGATGCGAAGAAAGGGGAACCCCCTACACTGTTGGTGGGAATGCAAGCTGGTGCACCACTCTGGAAAACAGCATGGAGGTTCCTCAGACAGTTGAAAAGAGAGCTACTCTACAACCCAGCAATCATACTACTGGGTATTTACCCTAAAGATACAAATGTAGTGATGCGAAGGGGCACATGCACCCCAGTGTTTATAGCAGTAATGTCTACAATAGCCAAACTATGGAAAGAGCCCAGATCCAGATGTCCATCAACAGATGAATGGATAAAGAAGAAGTGGCATAAACACACACACACACACACACACACACACAATGGAATACTATGCAGCCATCAGAAAATTGAAATCTTGCCATTTGCAACAGTGTGGCTGGAACGAGAGGGTATTATGGTAAGCAAAATAAGTCAGTCAGAGAAAGACAATTGTCATATGATCTCACTGATACGTGGAATTGGAGATAAAAAGACAGAGGATCATAGGGGAGGAGAGGAAAAAAATGAAACAAGATGAAACCAGAGAGGGAGACAGACCATAAGAGATTCTTAATCTTTGGAAATGAGAGAAGCAGCCAATACAATCTGTTAAGACATAGAACAGGAATTGTCAAACTACAGCTTCATGGCCAAATCCAGCTCAGGGCTTGTTTTTTATTTTTATTTTTTATTTTATTATTTTTAAATTAACATATATTATTAGCCCCAGGGGTGCAGGTCTGTGAATCACCAGGCTTACACACTTCACAGCACTCACCATAGCACATGCCCTCCCCAGCGTCCGTCCCCCAGCCACCCTATCCCTATCCCCAGCCCCCAGCAGCCCTCAGTTTTCTTCTTGAGATTAAGAGTTTCTAATGGTTTGTCTCCCTCCCAGGTCCCACCTGGTTTCATTTCTTCCCTCCTTACTTCCCACAACCCCCTGCCCTATCTCTCAAATTCCTCATATCAGGGAGATCATATGATAATTGTCTTTCTCTGCCTGACTCATTTCAGTCAGCATAATACCCTCCAGTTCTATCCATGTCATTGGAAATGACAAGATTTCATTTCTTTTTTGATGGCTGCATAATATTTCAGGGCCTCTTTTTAAATAAGCCATGAGCGAAGGACTTGATGTGTGGACATGCAGTCAGCCTGCCGGTCCTGCGCGCTCAGCCAGGCTGACAGAAGGGCAGGTTTTGAAGGGCGCCGGGCATTACAGGAGGGGCAGGGTGGGCAGGAAGTCGGGAGTGAGCAGGCAGTGCGAGCAGCAGAGGACCAGACCACAAGGGCGCCTGCTCCGGCAGCGGCGCTAAGGAAACGCAGCAGGCGGGCAGTGGACCGTCATAAGCCCGCCGGGCACTGACTGGGTGCAGAGGGCACGTACGGGGTCTCTAGGGCTGCTTGGTGGGAGCCAATCACGAGCCAGGGGGCAGTACGGGGGGCGTGTTTGCGCAGGCGCTCTGGGTGTCCCGCCTTGCCGTGGGCACTAGGGGGTGAAAGTTGGTGAGCAACGCCCTCGTCCTTCCGGGCCTCGTGAGGAGTGAGGCAGGAGTTAAGATGGGGTCTGAGGCAGGCGGTGGAGGGGCCAGGAGTGCAGTGCATGAAGGGGCGGGCACTGCGGGCATTGCGGTGGGTGCGCTAGGTGGTCCTGGTGAGCTCCATGACCCTAGAGCCCCTGGTGGTGCAGGTGGTCCCCGTGACCCCGGTGACCCCAGCCACCGCGGAAGCCCGAGCAATCCCAGAAGTCCCGGCATTGAGGGAGAGGCAGGCGCCGCGTGTGCCAGCGCTCGTCAGATGGAGAAAGCCCCCGGCGCACCAGGGCATGATGGAGATGCAGCACCCGCGGCTGGAGGTCCCAGGAACCAGCCGCTTCAGTTGTATCCTCTCCATGGAGCCCCTGTGGGCTGGACGGCACGGGGAGGGGCTGAAGGTGGTTTGATGGGGGACACAGGCAAGCGGGCTTGAAAGGGGAGCAGGAACTCTGGACATCTGGAGGGTATTGGCTGGGGTTTGGCCCCTGCTGGCAGAGGATGGTGGTGGAGGTGGGGAAAACCAGCCTGGGGGGAATGCAGGGGTAGCGGCAGGGCCGTCGAGGGTGGCCGGTGTGTGCAGCGGGGGGAGGGGGTGGACAGCCTGAGGGTCAGCCTGGCCGGAAAAGAGGCCTCGTGGAGGAGGAGGCCTGCGGCAGAGGCGAAATGGATGCTATGGATGGTGCCTTAACCATAGCTCCCCAGCGTCCTCACTGTGCCTTTCCCATCGCCCATGGAGGCGGAGATTGCCTACCGGTTCCTGAATCCAAACGCTGAACTTCAAGGACCAGTTCGGAAGGAGCTCAGCGTAAACGGAAACATCCTGACTGTGTTAGTTTTACGGTGGTCCGGGGGAGGTTGGTGGCGAGTGGCTGGGGACAGTGCGAGTTCGGGAGGAGCTGTAATGGGAACAGGGAAGGGGTAAGTCTAAGGAAGGAGTGTGATGCTCCAGGATTGTTGCTGTGCGAAGGGACAGATGGGCGATGTACCCTTCCGCCCCCTCACCTGAATTTTATTTTGTTTTCCCTGTTAGCCTACTGACTGCTGAAGACCCTGGCCAACTCCAGATTTCCATCACCTCCTGTCTTGACCAGGTTTCCCTGGTGATTCGGACCATGCAGCGCATTGTGCCTCCCTTTTTCTCTAAGCCGCAGCAGGATAAAGGGGGCTGAACCGAACTGCGTGTCCCATCCTCGGGCAGCCCTGACTGGGCCACTGATTTCTGCAGTAGTTGCTCCTTTATTATTGGGGCCTAATCTTTTGCCTATTTTGGTCCTTGGGCGCTTGGGATCCAGGTGTTTTCTTTGGTAATTATATGTTCAATAAATTCACAAAATAAAACACCTGCTATTCTGTGTCTGAGTTTAATTTTAGCTTCTCCACCTCCTAAGATTGCCTTTGTTCTCATGTTGGAGGAGAGGTTCTGGAATTCAGAGATTCAAGTAATATAAGGCAATTGAAGACATTTAGGAAATGGGAGAAATTATTGTGTCCTGTTATTCAATGTGAACTACTGTCAGCATGTGGGACTATCGCCTTAGTTTTACAGTTGTATTTATGTATTAATCTAAAACACCAGAGTACCAAGTAAGAGTTTGTGGCTTATTGGCCTTGATTCAGATCTGTGAAGAAAAGTGCTGGGGCAGCAGGTTAAGTGGGTCCCACGCCACCCTCTGTACTCACCTGTCGGCTGAGGCCTTGTCCCCCGAGGCTCCTTCCTTTGTGCGGCTCTCTTGCATCATCTCTCCCCAGAGTGTTCCTCCGGTTCATTATACTGCTGCTTTCTTCCCGAAAGTCATGACAAGGGTCCTTGAGGAAAGCAAAAGGGGAAGTGGTCCCCCTCGGGCGGGGGGACGGGGGAGGAGAGGAAGTAGGTTATTCTTCGCCTTCCCCTGAAAGACGCCCTCATGTAACACCAAGGTGGGGCTGCTTACAAAGCAGCAGAGTGGCCTCGGAGGGGAATGGCCGAGGCCCCAGTACGAGAGGTGAGTCTCTGGGATGGAGAGAGGAGGAACAAAGCATTGTCTGGGGACAGTCCACACTGCAGAGAGAGACGGAGTTGTGTAGAACGCTGGGACTACATGAACTTGTACCTGCCTGGGTGTCTATAAGTAGGTCTTCCAGAAGAAGCTGGGAAAACAAAGGCAAACCTGTCTTGTCTGTGAGGAAGGTGTCAAAGCAAGAGGGTGACCAGTGTCTACAATGGCTTCTGGCTTGAGGGAGAATTTCATTGAGCAATGTCACCAAAGAGAGCCCCAGACTGGAACTCAACTCTCCCTGTCAGTCCTGTTTCTTACTTTCTACTGGGTAGACAACTTTTTTTTTTAAGATTTTATTTATTTGACAGAGAAGGAGAGAGAGAGAGAGCACAAGCAGGAGGACGGGCAGGCAGAGGGAGAGGGAGAAGCCGGTTTCCAGCTGAGCAGGGAGCCCGACATGGGGCTCAATCCCAGGACTCCGGGATCATGACCTGAGCCGAAGGCAGATGCTTCACTGACGACGGAGCCCCCCAGGCGCTCCTGGGCAGGCAGCTTTAATATCTGAGGCATCTGGCGGGTCGACCTGAAGCTAGAGAACAAGGATGTTTCTATAAACGTGAAACACCACATTGCTACGATGAGAGGTAAAAGTCACAGGATCTTGTCCATAGATGCAGAAAACGCACTTGACAAAATACAACGTATTTTCATCATAAAAACCTTCAATAAATTAGGCATAGAATTAATAAACCCCAATATAATAAAGGCCACATATGACAAACCCTGCAGCTAACATCATACTTGACGGTGGAAAGTTGAAAGCTTTTACTATAAAATCAAGAACAAGGCATGGCTGGGCAGAGGCGTACTCAGTTAAATTTCAATCCTTAAAATTTAAATTCATTGAGAATTGGGTTTGGGCCTAGCAAATGCTTACAAGACATATTTGTACTAGAAAACAATGTGCAGTAGACACACATCTGAAATTGAGATTTCGAACTGAGAGTTCTAAAAACGTCAATCAAGGTAGCTGGCACTATTCACCAGATGGTGTAGGTCGGGGGCCAATAAGCTCTTCATGTAAGAGACGCAGAGCTGGCATTGGCCAGGAGGTTGTAGCTTCCCAATCCCTGTTCTGTGTCTTGACCAGCTGGGTTGGCTCATTCTCTCACCTGCTGAGAACGCCTGTGAAAATCTCTAAATGTAACTTTGGACTGGTCCCTTTTACCTATGAATCCTATTAATTCTTGCATCATGGATTTTGAACATATGTTATTGGCACAAACATATTTATGATCATTTTCTCTTCCAGATGGAGTATTTGCTACTTTTACTATTATGAAATGTACAGTTTTTCTTGAATCTGATTTATCTAATACACATACAACCATGTTAGCCTTCTTCACTCACTGTTTATTTGTAAGTCCTTTCCCATCCTCTTACTTCCAACCTACCAGTCTTTATATTTTAATTATGTGATTCATGTAGACAGCACATACTTTGGTCTTTTACAAAATCTAACAATGTCTCCTTTTAAGTTGGATTGTTTGGCAAATTCACATTTAGTATAACTACTGATATGGTGGGATTTAAGTCTGCCATTTCGCTATTCATTTTTTGTTTGTCCCTTCTCTTTTTTGTTTTTGTTCAATTTATTTGAGGCGAAATGCACACATGGAAAATTACACACTTTTAAAGTATACAGTTTTATGAGTTAGGACAAAGGTGTACACAGCAAAAGTCAAGATACAGAACATTCTCATCACTCTCACAATTCCCCCTGTGCTTCTGTACAGACACTCTCCCCTTCTACATTCTGCCCCCAGACAACAAATATAGCTTAGGTTTGCCTACTCAGCCTAATGGTTTGGAGATTCATCTAAGTTGTTGGGTGTATCAGTAGTTCATCCCTCTTTGTTACCGGCCGGCATTCTATTGCATGGATATACCATAATTTGTTTAACCATTCACCTGCTGATGGACATTGGGCTTGTTTCCAAATTGGGATTATTACTAATAAAGTTGACATGAAAATTCATGTACAAGTCTTTGCAAGGATATACATATATATATATATATTTTTTTTAAGATTTTATTTATTTATTTGACAGATAGAGATCACAAGTAGGCAGAGAGGCAGGCAGAGAGAGAAGGGGAAGCAGGCTCCCTGCTGAGCAGAGAGCCCGATGCGGGACTCGATCCCAGAACCCTGAGATCATGACCTGAGGCTTAACCCACTGAGCTACCCAGGTGCCCCTATATATATATTTTTTTAAAGGACATATATTTTTTAATTCTCTTGCGTAATAGAAGTGAGAGTTCTGGGTCATATGGAAAGTGTAAGTTTATTTTTTTAATTTAAAGATTTTTATAAAAATTTATTTATTTGTCAGAGAGGGAGAGAGAGATCACAAGTAGGCAGAGAGGCAGGCAGAGGCAGAGGGAGAAGCAGGTTCCCTGCCGAGCAAGGAGCCCAATACGGGACTCGATCCCAGGACTCTGGGATCATGACCTGAGCCGAAGGCAGCCGCTTAATCAACTGAGCCACCCAGGTGTCCCTATTTTTTTAATTTAAATTCAATTAATTAACATAAAGTGTGTTATTAGTTTCAGAGGTAGAGTTCAGTGATTCATCAGTCTTATATAATAGCCAGTGCTCATTACATCACCATCCCCCCACCCTCTTCCCCTCCAACAACCCTCAATCTGTTTCTTATGATTAAGAGTCTCTTATGGTTTGTCTTCCTCTCTGATTTCATCTTGTTTAATTTTTCCCTCCCTTCCCCTATGATCTTCTGTTTTGTTTCTTAAATTCCACATGAATGAGATCGTATGATGATTGTTTTTCTCTCTTTGACATATTTCGCTCAGCATAATACCCTCTAGTTCCATCCACGTCATCACAAATGGCAAGATTTCATTTCTTTTGATGGCTGCATAGTATTCCATTGTATATATACACCACATCTTCTCTATCCATTCATCTGTGGATAGACATCTAGGTTCTTTCCATAGTTTGGCTATTGTGGACATTGCTGCTGTAAACATTTGGGTGCAGGTGCCCCTTCTGATCACTACTTTTGTATCTTTGGGGTAAATAACCAGTAGTGCGATTGCTGGGTCATAGGGTAGCTCTATTTTCAGCTTTTTGAGGAACCTCCATTGTGTTTTCCAGAGTGGCCACACCAGCTTGCATTCCCACCAACAGTGTAGGAAGGTTCTCCTTTCTCCGCATCCTCGCCAGCATCTGTCATTTCCTGACTTAATTTTAGCCATCCTGACTGGTGTGAGGTGGTATCTCACTGTAGTTTTGATTTGTATTTCCCTGATGCTGAGTGATGTGGAGCACTTTTTCATGTGTCTGTTGGCCATCTGGGTGTCTTCTTTGTGGAAATGTCTGCTCATGTCCTCTGCCCCTTTCTTGATTGGATTATTTGTTCTTTGGGTGTTTAGTTTGAGAAGGTCTTTATAGATTTTGGATACGAGCCCTTTATCTGATATGTCATTTGCGAATATCTTCTCCCATTCTGTCGGTTGTCTTTTGGTTTTGTTGACTGTTTCCTTTGCTGTGCAAAAGCTTTTATCTTGACAAAGTCCCAATAGTTCATTTTTGCCCTTGCTTCCCTTGCCTTTGGCGATGTTTGCAGGAAGAAGTTGCTGCAGCTGAGGTCGAAGAGGTTGCTGCTTGTGTTCTCCTCAAGGATTTTGATGGATTCCTGTCTTACATTTAGGTCTTTCACCTATTATAAGTCTAATTTTGTGTGTGGTGTAAGACAGTGGTCCAGTTTCATTCTTCTGCATGTGGCTGTCCAATTTTCCCAACACCATTTGTTGAAGAGACTGTCTTTTTTATCCCCCCATTGGATATTCTTTACTGTGGCTAGTTTAAGTTTACCTTTACAAGAAACTGAAGAACTGTTTTCCAGTATGATTCTACCGATTTACACTCCCACCAGTGACGTATGATATTTCCATTCCATCTATATCCTCTTTTAGTCATCCTTATGTCTTTCAACTTTATTCCTCTTTTTCAAAATCTGATTTGCCTATTCTAGGTTCTTTGCATTTCCATACACACTTTGAAGTCAGCTTGTCAATTTCTGCAAAGTCAGGACTTTTATTGGGTTTGCATTGAATTTATAGATTGGTGTGGTCAGAATGTACCCCTTAAGAATACTGGGTCTTGGGGCACCCAGGTGGTTGGTTAAGCCTCTGTCTTTGGCTCAGGTCATGATCTCAGGGTCCTAGGCTCAAGCCCCAGGTCAGGCTCTCTGCTCAGCTGGAAGCCTGCTTCTCCTCTCCCTCTGTCTGCTGCTCTGCCTACTTGCATGCGCTCTCTCTTTCCATCAAATAAATAAATAAAATCTTTAAGAAAAAAAAGAATACATGGTCTTCCGATCCATGCACATGATCTATTTCTTCATTTATGTAGGTTTTCTTTAATTTCTCTTACCAATAGCTTTTAGTTTTCACTGTAAAGATTTTGCACATACGTTATTAAATGTGTCACTAAGTGTTTCAGGTTTGGGATACTATTATAAATGATAGTGATTATTTTTTTTGTAGCTTACTTAGGATTTTCTACATACACAAATATGTTATCTCTGAATGAAGATAATTCTATTTCTTTTTTTTCCAATCTGTATCACTTTTATTTCTCTTTCTTGCCTATTGTACTGCCTAGGATTTCCAGGACAATGTTGACTAGAAGTAGTGAACATCCATACCTTGTTTCTCAAACTTTGGTGGTGGTGGTGGTGGGGTTGTGATGAATGACATGGATTGATTTTTTAAAAAAAGATTTTATTTATTTATTTGAGAGAGAGAGTGAGAGAGCATGAGAGGGGAGAAGGCCAGAGGGAGAAGCAGACTCCCCATGGAGCTGGGAGCCCAATGTGGGACTCGATCCCGGAACTCCGGGATCATGACCTTAGCTGAAGGCAGTCGCCCAACCAACTGAGCCACCCAGGCACCCTGGATTGATTTTTTTTTTTTTAAATGAAAAC